TACTCTCTCTCTCTCTCTCTCTCTCTCTCTCTCTCTCTCTCTCTCTCTCTTTCCCCTCCCTTTGAACTTTAATATTCGTTTAGAATGGTAGAAATAATTATGTAACCTAGAAAACAATGAATTTGACTTTGGATTGTTAGTATAGTGATAGGTCACATGTAAACTTGTCCATTTAATACAGGATATTTCGAGTATTCTAGTAAAATTGCACAAAGAATTGATATATGATATCAATTATAGCATCATTTTGTTATGTATTTATAATATTTCTAGAATTGAATTTTAACAAATAGTTAAAATTCCGTTTTGATTATCACTTAATGGATGTATATGGTTTAAACATCTAAGTGAGAAGAAAATATTTAATCCCCTAATAATAATACATTATGGATATCAAGAAATTACAAGAATTTATGGAATTGGTTGGTCGATTGAAAGTAAGTTATTGCAATCTTTCAAAATAAATCCATCATTTTATGATCATTTTATATAGATATCTTAAATATTCAATTTTAGCACTTTCAATATAATTTTGTATAATAAATAACAATTCTATATATTATTGAATGTAATATATTCATCATACAACAATTTTTAAAAACCTTTAAATGTTGTATAATGAAAGAATGTTAAATATTTTTTATTGATTTTTATTTAATAAAGTATAAAATGTTGTTCAAACATTATTATATCTTTATATCTTATTTATGTTATCATTTACTATATCATTATATGTTATCATTTTTTTAAATTAATTATTATTTCTTTTTATTTTTTTTATTTGATTAAAAAATATTCTTGATATCTTATATATTATATATTTTATATATTTATTAATTATTTTAGCATATGAAAAGAACAGGATGGGTTCTTAAAAATGTTCCTGATCCAGAAACAATCGCAGGTCATATGTATAGGATGGCTATGTTTTCTTTCTTGGTAGATAAAAATGAAAATTTAGATAAAGTCAAGTACGAAATATTATTTATATTATTTGGATAAAATATATATTAAAAAAATTCTTATTAATATCTATTAATTATTATTTTATCTATTATAGAATTATTTTAAATTATTTTTTTAGAGATCTTATTTATTTATAAATTTTATCTATTACATATTACAGAATCATGCAAATGGCTTTAATACATGATTTAGCTGAATGTATTGTGGGAGATATAACACCTTCTTGTGGTATTCCATCTGAAATTAAACATAAGTTAGAAGATGAAGCTATGGAAGATATTTGCAAACTTCTTGGAGATAGAGGACCTGTGATATTGGAAATATTTCGTGTATAAAAAATTGATATATGTATATAGTATATCTTCTGTTTATATATATAAACAGAAGATTATAATTAAATTTTTTTTATAATTAAATTATTTTCATTTTTTACTTATAGGAATATGAAAAGCAAGAATCTCCAGAAGCAAAATATGTTAAAGATTTAGACAGATTAGATTTAATTATGCAAGCATATGAATATGAAAAAAGGGATAATATTCCTGGAAAATTAGAAGAATTTTTTACTACTACAAATGGCAAAATAAGACATCCTTTTATTCAAAAATTAGCATCTGAAATTATTGAAAGAAGACAAGCTCTATGTTGTAATTTAACTACTTCAATATAACTGATTTTGTATTTATGCTTTAAAAAAAAAAATCATCAATTTCATTATTATATTTAATAATTACAAGAAAATATTTATTTTGACGGAGAATAAAGATAATTGTGCTTTACACATGAAAAAGTAAACTAGTATATTTTACATACTAATATTTTCTTTATTTTCTGTGAAAATAGTGTATAAATAAAATACTAATTAAATTAAATTTAATAATAATATCTATAGTAATATTTAATAATTAATATTTAATATTTTAAAATTTTATAATTTTTTTTGCATACATTTTGCTTTAAAATAATTGTTTTAAAATAATTGTTTTTAAATAATATTTGATTCCATTTTTATATAAATAAACATCGATTTTTTATGAATATTTTAAAAAATTACTTAAGTTTATTATAATATTAAGAAGATAATTATTTATTAAATTAATTTTTTTTAATTAGAATTACAGATTAATTTGTTTGACTTTATAATTTGGATTATAATTATAAAATATTTAAAAATGAAATTTTTAAATATTATTGCATATTTATGAAAATTACAATTTTTTATAAAAGTAATAAAAATAATAAAAATAAATATTTAAGAAAAAAATTTAATTTGTGGATAATATTTATTTAAACAATTTAATAATTAACAATTACTAATAATTTCTGTACTTTTTTTATTTTTATAACATATATATATAATCATATATATAATTTTTTAAATAATATGCACATGTGTAAATACATTTTTTCAATATATATAAGAAAATACACATTAAATATATAATTAAGAAGTATACATTTTTTTTTAAATTGAATGAAAATATATTTTTTACAAAAATAAAAAAATCTTGATTTTTATATGTAAGAATTAAATTTTTTCATATTAAATTGTAAAAAAAAAATTCAACAAAATACATCTTTGTAAATGTTATAATATACATAACGTAAGTGTCTTCAATTTTTACGAAAACGTATTTTTAAGATAGAAGCCTAATTTTATCAATACTTGATTGTCCTTAATTTTTTCTTGGTGAAATTTTTTAGAAATTAAGTTTAAGATGTGAAATATAAAAAATTATATATTATATATATTGTACTTTAAAATGTAAATATATATTATATTTTAAAATTGAATGTATATTGTACTTTAAAATTGAAGAACTAAGTAAATAAGAAGTTCGAAAAAATAAAATCAGAATTGTAAAGAATATATATAATATATTTTCGTAGAATTGTTGTTACTTCATTATAACACGTAATCGAAGTAAGTTAGCACCTGAAAAAAATATAGAGTCTAATGAAATAAGCCAATCTTTGCAAACACATAGTCAAATCACACGATTCTTACAATTGGCTGAATATTATATCTATTAACTACTACCAATAACATATATCAGTATGTGTTACATTTGATAAGATTATATAGATATAGTGGTTTATATAGATATAGTTGTCCGCATCTTCCAGGTGCCAATTTAAGTAACATAGTACTTACAGATTATTCATGCTTCATATGTCGAAACAATTAACCTCTAATATCTTAAAATAAATTATTTTTCGACAATAAATAGGAAATAAATTAAAAACTGTATATTATTGTATATATATATATTGATTGTAAGTACACAAGTAGTAATATTTTTAGGAAAAAAAGTTGTTGAAAATAAGTGTAAAAGTAATTATAGACAAGTATTATATTATTTTAAAGAGCTTTTTATCAATATTGTCAATATGGAAGTAAAATGTAACCAATCAACGGTTGTTAAAAAAAAAAAATGGTCTATTGAGAAATTTCTGGCCGAATTTGATTTATCAGAAAAAGATGGTAATTTGAATTATGCAAATTTTCATTCGATTTGTGTTACGCTTTTTTATCCACATGAAATCAAACAAGATGAATGGAGGATTCGAGAGATATTTTGTTTATTTGATCTAAACAAAGATGGTATATTGCAGCAACAAGAGTGGAAAACGTAATTATAATTTATTTTTTTTATACATAAAAAATCAAACAAACAATATTTTAATTGCACATAGTCCTGGAAAATTACGTAATGGGCATGCTATTAAAAATGTGAGCATATATATATATAAATATAGTACTAGCGTTGTAAGTAAAGTTGATCTATAATATGTAACTTTAGTTTCAATTCCAAATTCTAAGTACTACAGAAAATTAGATCCATAATTAATCACAATACATTAATCACAATATGCAATATATTATTAAAATTCAATTAATGAAATGAAACAGTTTCAAATGTTTCAAATGTATAAGTTTAGTGTTTTTATTCTTTATTATTTTTATTAATTTCAAATTAATCAAAATATCAATTTATATTGATTTAAGATTATTTCTGAATATTTATCTTCATGAATTATATCTGTTTATTATTAAATAATGGATAAGTATAAAAATTGAAAAATATGGCAGATCGAACAAGCTTTTTTATTCATTAATTATTGGTTAATAACTTGATCTTAAATTTCTGGTTTAAGAAAAGATGATCTGGTTTAAGAGATGAGTATATTCTTTTATGATTTAGAATTTGGAATTGATGTTAAAACTGAAATAATGGAAATGATATTATTAGGATTTAAGATTTAAATTTAATTAATTTAAATTTATCTTAAACTTATTTAGATACAATGATATATTTTATATAATATTTTTAAATTACACAAAAAATAATAATTTTCATGATAAAATATATGAGATAATTCTAAATATCTAGAATAAAATTTCAAATCAAATTTACAATCAAAATTTTTTATATCAATATTACAATTTTAACGAATATAATTATGTAATTAAATATAATCATGTAATTTATTTGATTTATTGAACAGATTCTGTGATTGGTTACAAGTGATACTTGAACCTGTAGATGCACTTTTGATTGTAGACGTTCAAAATGATTTTATCGATGGGTCTTTAGCTCTTCGTGCTTGTGAAGCCAAGCAGGATGGAGCTGATGTGGTGGAACCAATTAATTATTTGTTAAAAAATGGACTTTTCGATAAAATTATTTATTCATTAGATTGGCATCCGGATAATCATATCAGTTTTTATGAAAATTTACATTTACGAGAATTACATCCAGATTCAAAGGTATATAAAAAAGTTAAAATTTATAACTTTATTACAATAAAATTGAATATTTTTCTTGAACAAAATAAATAAAAAAATTATGTAAATTATAAATAAATGAATCAGTATTTGTTGTACTATGACAAGAATATTTAAAATTAATATTATTGTTTGATTATTTTGGTATCAATTTTAAATGTATAAAAATGTATAAAAAATTGTTCGTTTTACATTGAAAATAATTTACATATATTTTTTTCATTTTGTAAAATAAAAATTAGTTAAACATTTTTTAAGAAAAAGGAAAAAAAATGTCATCCTTTTAAAATAAAATATTTTTAATTATGTATAAGGTAACAAAAGACAATGCCAAACTATTTGATACAGTGATTTTTGCGGATCCTTATTCGGAACAGATACTTTGGCCTAAACATTGCGTAATGAATACATGGGGATCTCAATTGCACAAAGATCTTTTGATTACACCTAATTCTGTGCAGGTATTTTAAATCATTTTAAAGCGAAAAATTTAAATTTAAATTTTATAAAAAAATATATATATATTGACTATGATTAGCTTCGTTTTTTAGGTACGTAAAGGTCAAAATTCAAATATGGAGGCTTATTCTGTATTTTACGATAACAATTATAAAGAATCAATGGAACTGCAAAAAATTCTAAATGAATTAGGTGCGACACGCATCTTTGTATGTGGTCTCGCTTACGATGTTTGTGTAAAATTTACATGTTTAGACGGACTTCAGTTAGGCTATGCTTTGGCTGTTATTGATGATTGTTGTCGTGGTGTTTCGATACCTAATATTGAAAAAACTAAAAATCTAATCTATGAGAATGGAGGACTTATCACTAATAGTCACGATGTTCTTGGAATGATAAACGAGGGAAAACGAAGTCTTATTATGAGTCATCAAATTGCAAAAGCAATTTCATCAAATTGCAATATGATTTGCCATGCAAGAAATTGTATGAATTAATATCGTACAATTAATGTACACATATATCTTGTTTCAGAAACAGAACGTGTATATAATACAAACTGTGAACGGTAAAACGCTTTAAATTTTTTAAAATATTTATTAGATTTATTTTATTATAGTTTTTTTCTTATACTTATTAATCATTCCTAATTCATTGTACTTAATTAAAATTTTATTATATGTTTTATTATTTAATAATAATTTACATTATTAAATAATCAATAATTGAAATAATAATAATAATAATGATATAATAATTCTATCATTGTATAAATTAATTTCAATATTAGTTGAACTTAACATACAGTACTTATGATTATATTTAATATTACATTAAGTATATTGTGTTTACTTATTTTTATATACAAGTATTATATTTTTTAATATTATTAAATATGAATTTTTGAAATCAAATAAATATATATGCAATGAATACAATGAATTTACACACATGTTATTAAATATTAGTTATTACATTTAATGCTATTCGTTCAACATTTTTGCAGTTTTCTCAATTTTTTTTGCTGAATCATCATCTTTTGCCAATTTACAAGCATATTTGTGTTTTGCGCCACAATCATCACTTTGATAAGAGTACAATTTAGATGTAGAATTGTAGGATAATTTTAAACATCTAAAAATGCATCAAGTAAAAAAAGAAATAAATATTTATCTAAATTGAACTCACAATATTTTAAATTAAATCACAATAATTAAATTTTCATTAATAGTTATTAATCATTGAATGTATTTTTTAAATTTATAATTTTTGATATTAAAAAATAATCTTACCTTCCATCACCAGGAACAGTGTATTTAGTATTTTGATAAACTGGTTTTGCACTACTAGCCCAGATCCAAAGAAGACCTGGATTTAATCCTCCTGTCCAAAAGGTTTTACCTTTTAATTTAGAATTCGTTTGTAAATTAACTATTACATCGTGTTTTTCATTATTAGTATCAAATTCCAATAATTGGCCGCCCATTCCTCGACAAAGGCTTGCCGACGATTTCCAGTCGAATTCACGATTGCTAAAGTGATAGCAATTCTGGCCGATTTTGGAGTAATTACTGGGACAGGGTTCTAAGAATATGAAAACGAAGAATTTTTGCAAAGATGAGAATCAATTAATGACTATGAATTAATTTACAAGATGAGAAATGGAAAAAATTTAAAACTTGCCTTTTTTGTTGATATTTCCAGAAATTACATAATACAGAAGTTCTTCCGCTCTTCTGAGACGATTTTCTAAAAAATCTACTCTGTAGACAAGTTTCTCTATCGCACCTTTATATCATAGAAGATAATTTATATATTCTATAATTCTAAATAGGAAAATAATTATTCTATTACCATTTCTTTATTATAATTTTACCAAGTAAATAGAGATCTGTTTCAGAGACTTCCCGTTTGTTTGGCATCGATATTTTACTCGTTACGGTTAAACTTTTATCTCCCAATTTCATCACTTTCGACATTCTGGTTATTTTTGAATCGGAAATAGTCCAGTTTTCTAAAATTTCACCCCATATTCCTAATGGCTCGATCATTGACACGTTAAGTGAATTTATAGCGGATATCGAATATAAATTCTCTAAAAATATATGAATAATCTTATTAAAAGATATATATTTTTATATAAAGAATTTAATATCTTTTTCGTATACCTGGAATTTCCATAATGCACAATTGAAAAAGTAACATAGGAAGTAAGCAAAAAGATAGTTTATGTTTCATGGTATAGCTGAAAATAAGGAGAAATTCGGTTAAGCAGACTATCTTTACCTTTCCTTAAGAAAGTTTAAACAGTTGGAACGATCATTCAAATCGTTTCATCGATATTCCCAAATATTAAATCGATAATAATTATATTCCATTAAATTGATTCTTGAAATATCATTTAACACGTTAATTTGATATTTCTTTCGTTTATTATAAGAAGCATATAAATGTGAATGATTATATTTTTACAGATAACTCGGATGAATTATCATTAATTATTATTTAGAAATTAATTTAAGAAAAGAAAAAAAAAGAATACATTAGGAAAGATGCAATAAAGCGATAAAAGATTAAGATACATTACATACATAATATCTATGACGACTTCTTAATTGTTATCATACCACATTTGTTTCTTTCTGAATATATGAGCTCAGTTGCTCGATCCACTTTCGTTCATGAACGAAGTAAGACTATCGAGAGTCGAGGCTCGTGCGAGACACTTTCTCTCTCTCCTCATCGGAAAAATGAGTCACTTTCTTTATTAAATTTGGCCGTTACGTTTCCGCGATTTGTCCTCTTGTCAAAATTTCTTCTCTCCTCGTTCCATTAAAATTTTAAATCAAATCAAAAATTACTTTATAATCATCTTCTCGAAGATTTTAGAAACTTTAGAATCTTTAGTATATTATATTAAATATATATATATATATATATATATATATATACTAGAAAGAAAA